TTATCTCGCTCTGAACCCGAGATAGCTACACGTGCATTTATTTCTTCACGACTATTGTAACTCACTGCTTATGTGTCAAAGGTTCCCTGGAGCTTCTGCAGGTTGTGCAAAACACTGCAGCTGGGCTTTTGACTAAATCCAGTATTCACACGTGACACCGCTGCTATCTGAGCTACACTGGCGTCTTATTGAACTCAGAGTCCATTTTAAGATCCTGGTCTTAACTGGCACCTCCCTACACCTCAGATCTGCTACAGCCCGATGTCCCCAGCAGGTCCCTGAGGTCATCTGATCAGGGTTACTTGCTGTGAAACAGACTAACATGAGAACTAAGGGTGACAGAGCGTTTGCCCCTGTAGCCCCGAGACTGTGGACTCAGAACTGTTTTTAAAAAACAATTCAAAACTCACCTTTTTAAACTGCTTTTGGTTCATTTTTGTCTCTTTTACCTTTATTTGTTATCTTATGTGCAGCACTTTGTGACTCTGTCTAGAAAGGTGCTATATAAATACAACTTTATTTATTTATTCATTTATTTAATAAAACTGAAGTTCTACTTGTACAGCTTCTATTCTAACCAAATCCCACAAGTTTTCCAGTAATATTGACAACTCGTCCATCCTAGGAGGAGTCTGGGTGTCATCCTCAACAGCACTTTGTCATTTCAGTCTCATATTAATCACATCACCCAGTCTGCTTACTGCCACTTAAGCAAAGTCAATCATCTCAGTCCTTCCCAGCCTCCATGCTGTTGCCACCCTGCTCCATAGCCTCGTCACTTCTGGGACTGATTAATGTAATTTTCTTCTCTTTAGTCTAACAAGTCGCTGCATAAATTCCAGCTCCTGCAGAATTCTGCAGCCAATACAAGTTTACAATACAGGTTTATTTATACGGCACATTTAAAACCAAAGGTACACCACAGTGCTCCTCAACAAGGTTAAAGCATAACAGATACAGGACCATATCAGGGGACAAATAAACTATCAATACAGATAAAATAGGAAATAAAACATCTGAGCGTAATTTAAAAGATAGAATCACTGAGTATTTGTAAGTGTAAGGTGGAGGTATTTATGCAGTCATGCATCAATAGAAGATAAATAACACAGGAATAAAAAATAGGGAATGATAGTAACTAACCGAAAAACACGTTTTTAACTGTGATTTGAATGAATGGATGGAATCAGAGACGCAAACAGAGGTTCGTGGCAAAACTAACTAATGCTGGGCTCACACGGTGCGATTTTTGGCTCATTTTGAGACGATTTTTCGACTGTTTTGGTGATCGGCCCGAGTTTCGCCTTCATCGTGCGTCGTGTAGAAGCGATAAACACCTCACGACCAGCTCCCCATCATCAATCGTTTGGTCGTAAGAAAATAAAACCTGTTTGAAAGCCAGTCGCCCCTCGTGAGGGCGTCGCCGCAGCCTCTCACACTGCGCACGCACAAACACAAAGACGGAGCAGCAGTGCAGCTGTGATCTGGACACAAGCGATGGAGGCACAACTTGTAGGACTTTGGCTCATCAGAGCCTTTTCGATGTGGCCTCACAAAATGATCACGAACACAACAACCGTGGAAATAGTTGGATGGACTTTGCTGCTCAATCACAGCTGATCATGTTTTTATTAGCAATTTAGCAAAGTTGGTGGTGGTGTGTGTCTGTGAGTGAAAGACAGAGAGGGAGAGATTTTCTGTTAAAAGCTTCATGTTATGGACGCACAGTGTGAGCACTCAGGTCACATCAGAGCATCGTATAGTGTGAGACCTGCATCGTGACCTATGAACTTCTGACCCCTGCGAGTCAATCCAGGGGTCAGAAGCATCAGCACGGCGTATGCCCAGCTTTACCCTCCAGAGAGCACATCACGCCTGCTCTTCAACAGCTTCACTGGCTGTAGATTTTAGAGTCACTTGCAAAATATTGCTTCACATTTTCAAATGTACTGAAAACCTTTGCTTTTTTCAAAGGCACCCACAAATAAAATGTATTATAATTATTAACTAAATGGTTAAAATCCTGCTGATGTACACAGGCAGAAAGGTCTTCACCTGTAAGCATTAAAACCAGAAACAGTGTTCAGTTTTTGCTCTCTGTGTACCTTTATATATGCCGTTGGATCCCCCGTGGGCATCGCCTCTGGCAGAGATTTCCTCCAGATGAGCCCCTTGATCTGAAGTCAAGTAAACAAGAGTTTTTCCTCTCAAGCCGAGTCTGTCCAGCGTCTCCATGAGCTGACCTGAGAACACACAGAGCAAACTCCGGTCTGTAATTATTTGGAAACATTTTTCCGTTTGAGTATGAAAAACAGAACGAGAAAGTGAAACTGTAACACAACGAGTGTTAAAGCTGCCAGGCAGGAGGAGAGGAAGACCTCAGAGGAGGTTCGTGTTTGTCGTGAATGACGTCACGCAGGCGAGTGGGCGTGACAGAGGCAGAGCGACAGAGCGGGATGGATCAGATGAACTGTGGTGACCTCTAAAAGGAGCAGCGTAAAGAAGAGGAGGAGAAATACATCTTCTATGTTAGATTGGTCAAAGTAGGCATCAGTGCTCGCTGCTTTCTTTCTGTGCCTCTCTGTGTTTGTGTCCTCATCGAGGTCACTCTCCACTGAACAACATAATGAGTTCAACCTTCTGTGTTTGTGGTGCCTCGACATCCTCGAACACTAAGTGTGTTTCTTCTGTCCCTGGATTCCCCTCCTTGGTGTGTGGTAACCCTGCGGGCTGTTTTACGTGGATTCTCTTCCCCCCCGGAGCACTATTCCACTATTTGCATTGCGTCTTTGTGCAGATTTACTTTCACTGTAAACAAACACACTGACCTTTGATCTGCTGAGTCCACCAGCCTTGACACAGGGATTGATCATGTCCATCATTACTACTGGACATTAACTTTTTTCAGTCGCCAAAAACATCAAAGAATACTGTGTAAGAGAC